TCAGCTCCAGCTTACCCAGCTACACGCAGACCTCGACTTGTGTATCATCAAGCAGACAGTCGTTGACGACCTGTACATGCTCAATTAGAGTGTATAAAGTTATAAGCCCCCACGGTAGGGATCTTGTTGGACGCACCGTACTGAAGAAACCCAGTAGTCGAGAAGGATGGCTCCGTAGCACCAGGAGTCCTGTCGTTTGAACCAAATTTGTTTCACATGATCGAGGTCTCTGTAGCGAACTTGGCTTGTGTGGGCGTGGGGGTGGCGGCGACCTTACCGCCGAGCAACTTCCAACGCAGCGACCGCGTATATGCCGTGAGTCCAGATAGGCAGATAGTGTAGGCATCGGGCGCTTCGACATCTAGTAATGCAAACGTGTACTTCAAGACGTTAGCACTCCAGACTTTCAGCACTATACATGAGGCAGTGACGGTCGAATGCAGCGCGGTACGTACGGACACACACTGATCTCAGCGCTTGCCGTGTCTTCTGTGGTTTCGGTGGTGCCAGCACTTGGGATCCTCGGCAGTACGCAGATTCTGCTTGTTCGCTGTTCTTGTCTTGGTTTCTGGCGAGGCCACTTCAACATCAGCAACACTGACCGTACTTAGCACGCCGCACTTAGCGGCAGCGTTCAGGCACACCGAACTTACGCCAGATGATGCACATGTTGCGGTGACAAACACCACGAAGTGTCCAGCCAGGACAGTGTACAGCTATCGTTGCAGTGCACTTGCGGTCTCTGCGCATTTACCGTCGGTGTCGAACAAAATACAGTGTGCAAGGTCGAGACGGTTGTCCAGTACAGGTGTGTTAGCTATGAATATGCAGCTGGTAGCTTACTGTACCTTGACCAATACTTCTTCGAGTTTCGCATTTACCGTCGGTGTCGAACTAAAGTGCGCACAAGGTCAGGCCGGTTGACAGTGGCAGACGTGTTGAGTATGTGCATGTTCCTTACCGCAGCCGCATGTTCCTTACCGTAGCCGATAACCCCTTCGCCAGCGCGCATAGAGGTGACGATCATGACGGCCACCGATAAGTCGATCTGATAACAAGCATAATCATGTCAGCAGAAAAATAATCTATGTAAGAAAAAGCTCAAGCAGTAAGGCCTTGACTTGCCTCCTTTCGAGAAAGATAGATGAATGAGGTCGAGCTGCAAAAGGCGGCGACAAGCAAAGGGAGTGAATGCCTGACAGCCACCCACGAGACCTGGGTCGGGCTGGGCTGGGCCTGCCACAGACTTCGTTGCCCAGCAAACCGACCCAAGCCGGCAAATAACAGTTCAAAATTGATAGCCTGGCATTTATGTGGTAGTTCTTTTTGCGGGTTTGAAAGTGCTTTCACTCATTTTCTGCTAAAACAGAGCACAGCCAAAGCTCCCCTCTCTAAGCTGATACTTGGAGAACACCAATTTGGGTCTGCCGAGCGCCAATCCGCCAGAAGATTGTCGCACTCCTCAGATCAATTGACTGGCAAGCGTTTGAAGGGGGTTGGCTCGATCCATGGGGGGCTGGAAAAGATTTTGGCCATTTCTTCACTAAAGTAGTGAGGAAGAAATGGCCGATCTCTAGAAAGTCACAGTTGAAGCGACTTTTAGCTAGGATGGCTAAAGTTTTTACTTTTTATCGTCATTAAGTACGATGCATTAGCTTTAAAATTGCATCGCCAAAAAGAAAAGAAAAAACATTTACGATGCGTTTGATGGCGTTGAAGACAGCATCCACGCCACGGTAACGCAGTGTGCGTGCGTCTGCATGAAGTCGGGAGACGATGCCGCCAGTATGCGCACTGCCGGAGTGGCGAACAGCCATATATAACGTTACATTGTATAATGCAGGCCCTGCAACAGCTACCGTGTTGATGTGCGGGGATCAGTACGCAAGGAGCCTGTGATATTTTTTACGTGGAGCCGTGGTGCGTGGACGTGTTTGAGCATTGGATC